AGGTAATTTATATTTTAGTTTTTATTGGTTCACTATATAGTACTGTGAATAGCTCAGATGTGTAGTCATTTCTGTGACCAGTCACCAGCAAATCACCCAGTTATTTCAATGCTAAATTCGCCTAGTTATTTCAATGCTAAATTCTCCTGTTTTGATTGGTACTAAGTGCCTCGGTGAATGTGTATGCTCTGACTTCAACGTAACTATTTCTGTAGCAGTTACAAGCGAATGCCTTAATTTAGCTATTTCAATGCTAAATTCTATGCTAATTCCTTTTAACAATGGGTGCCTCTGCGGATGTGTATGCTTTAACTTTTAACATAGCTATTTCTGTGACCAGTCACAAGCTAATCATTCAGCCTTTTCAATGCTAAATTTTATGCTAATTCCTTCGTCAAGGCTCTTTGTTCCTCTCACACAGCTTAAAAGCCGTGATCTGAACGTGGCTCTCTCACTCCAGCGCTGTCCTACCAGACAGTCTCGCTCCCTTCACCTGATGAAGGCCGCTTGTGTTGTGGCCGAAACGTCGTGAGAATATTATTGTGTTATTTTATTTTATCAATTTATTATTTTATTCTCATTCTACGTGACTTTACCGAAAGAACCAAAGAAGATGAATCATTGCAGTCACGAAAGCTTTAAATCGAGATTTCATGATTCTTCATTGTTGGCATTGGCCTATGCCAGTGAAGTATGTTGCAGCTTCACAAGTTTGACAAGCAGTTTCCGTAGTGTATTGGTTATCATGTTCGCCTAACACGCGAAAGGTCCCTGGTTCGAAACCGAGCGGAAACATTCTATGTAAAACCAAAACAATTTGTATTTTATTTAAAGTGGACGTAAAATATGCCTTCATGAACTTGATGATTTAATGATTTGACACTGGACGTTTGGACTTATTTCAGTGAAATATGTTGCTACGTTACATGTTCTTCAAGCAGTGTCCGTAGTGTAGTGGTTGTCATGTTCGCCAACACGCGAAAGGTCCCTGGTTTGAAACCGGGTGGACACATTTTACGTAAAACCAAAACAATTCCTGTTTTATTTAATGTGCACGTAAAATGAGCCCTCATGAAGATGATGATTTCATGAAGATGATGATTTCATGATTCTTCATTGTTGGCATAGGTCTATACCAGTGAAGTGTGTTGCAACTTTATGAGTTTGACAAGCAGTTTCCGTAGTGTAGTGGTTATCACGTTCGCCTCACACGCGAAAGGTCCCCGGTTTGAAACCGGGCGGAAACATTTTATGTAAAACCAAAACAGTTCCTGTTTTATTTAAAGGGCACGTAAAATGTGCCCTCATGAAGATGATGATTTCATGATTCTTCATTGTTGGCATTGGCCTATGCCAGTGAAGTATGTTGCAGCTTCACAAGTTTGACAATCAGTTTCCGTAGTGTATTGGTTATCATGTTCGCCTAACACGCGAAAGGTCCCTGGTTTGAAACCGGGCAGAAACATTTTACGTATAACCAATAAAAATCTATTTTATTTAAATTGGACCTAAAATGTGCTTTCATGAAGATAATGAATTCATGATTCTTCATTGTTAGCATAGGCCTATACCAGTGAAGTGTGTTGGAACTTCACGAGTTTGACAAGCAGTTTCCGTAGTGTGGTGGTTATTACGTTTGACTAACACGTGAAAGGTTCCTGGTTTGAAACCGAGCGGAAACATTCTATGTAAAACCAAAACAATTTGTATTTTATTTAAAGTGGACGTAAAATATGCCTTCATGAACTTGATGATTTAATTATTTGACACTAGACGTTTCGAAATATTTCAGTGAAATATGTTGCTACGTTACATGTTCTTCAAGCAGTTTCCGTAGTGTAGTGGTTATCACGTTCGCCTAACACGCGAAAGGTCCCCGGTTTGAAACCGGGCAGACACATTTTACGTTAAACCAAAACAATTCGGATTTTATTTAAATAGGACGCAAAATGTGCCTTCATGAAGATGATGATTTCATGATTCTTCATTGTTGGCATTGGCCTATGCCAGTGAAGTATGTTGCAACTTCACAAGTTTGACAAGCAGATTCCGTAGTGTAGTGGTTATCATGTTCGCCTAACACGTGAAAGGGTCCTGGTTTGAAACCGGGTGGAAACATTTTACGTATAACCAAAAAAAATCGTGTTTTATTTAAACTGCACGCAAAATGTGCCCTCATGAAGATGATGATTTCATGATTCTTCATTGTTGGCATAGGTCTATACCAGTGAAGTATGTTGCAGCTTCACAAGTTTGACAAGCAGTTTCCGTAGTGTATTGCTTATCATGTTCGCCTAACACGCGAAAGGTCCCTGGTTCGAAACTGGGCGGAAACATTTTACGTATAACCAATAAAAATCTATTTTATTTAAATTGGACCTAAAATGTGCTTTCATGAAGATAATGAATTCATGATTCTTCATTGTTGGCATAGGCCTATACCAGTGAAGTGTGTTGCAACTTCACAAGTTTGACTAGCAGTTTCCGTAGTGTAGTGGTTATCACGTTCGCCTAACACGTGAAAGGGTCCTGGTTTGAAACCGTGTGGAAACATTTTACGTATAACCAAAAAAAATCGTGTTTTTTTTTTTAAATTGCACGTTAAATGTGCTTTCATGAAGATGATGATTTCATGATTCTTCATTGTTGGCATAGGTCTATACCAGTGAAGTGTGTTGCAACTTTATGAGTTTGACAAGCAGTTTCCGTAGTGTAGTGGTTATCACGTTCGCCTCACACGCGAAAGGTCCCCGGTTCGAAACCGGGCGGAAACATTTTATGTAAAACCAAAACAATTCCTGTTTTATTTAAAGTGCACGTAAAATGTGCCCTCATGAAGATGATGATTTCATGATTCTTCATTGTTGGCATTGGCCTATGCCAGTGAAGTATGTTGCAGCTTCACAAGTTTGACAAGCAGTTTCCGTAGTGTATTGCTTATCATGTTCGCCTTACACGCGAAAGGTCCCTGGTTCGAAACCGGGTGGAAACATTTTACGTATAACCAAAAAAAATCGTGTTTTTTTTAAATTGCACGTTAAATGTGCTTTCATGAAGATGATGATTTCATGATTCTTCATTGTTGGCATAGGCCTATACCAGTGAAGTGTGTTGCAACTGGACGAGTTTGGCAAGCAGTTTCCGTAGTGTAGTGGTTATCACGTTCGCCTAACACGCGAAAGGTCCCCGGTTCGAAACCGGGCGGAAACATTTTATGTAAAACCAAAACAATTCCTGTTTTATTTAAAGTGCACGTAAAATGTGCCCTCATGAAGATGATGATTTCATGAAGATGAAGATTGTTGGCATTGGCCTATGCCAGTGAAGTATGTTGCAGCTTCACAAGTTTGACAACCAGTTTCCGTAGTGTATTGGTTATCATGTTCGCCTAACACGCGAAAGGTCCCTGGTTCGAAACCGGGCGGAAACATTTTACGTATAACCAATAAAAATCGTATTTTATTTCAATTGGACCTAAAATGTGCTTTCATGAAGATAATGAATTCATGATTTTTCATTGTTGGCATAGGCCTATACCAGTGAAGTGTGTTGCAACTTCACGAGTTTGACAAGCAGTTTCCGTAGTGTAGTGGTTATTACGTTTACCTAACATGTGAAAGGTTCCTGGTTTGAAACCGGGCGGAAACATTCTATGTAAAACCAAAACAATTTGTATTTTATTTAAAGTGGACGTAAAATATGCCTTCATGAACTTGATGATTTAATGATTTGACACTAGACGTTTCGAAATATTTCAGTGAAATATGTTGCTACGTTACATGTTCTTCAAGCAGTTTCCGTAGTGTAGTGGTTATCACGTTCGCCTAACACGCGAAAGGTCCCCGGTTTGAAACCGGGCAGACACATTTTACGTTAAACCAAAACAATTCGGATTTTATTTAAATAGGACACAAAATGTGCCTTCATGAAGATGATGATTTCATGATTCGTCATTGTTGGCATTGGCCTATGCCAGTGAAGTATGTTGCAGCTTCACAAGTTTGACAAGCAGTTTCCGTAGTGTATTGCTTATCATGTTCGCCTAACACGCGAAAGGTCCCTGGTTCGAAACTGGGCGGAAACATTTTACGTATAACCAATAAAAATCTATTTTATTTAAATTGGACCTAAAATGTGCTTTCATGAAGATAATGAATTCATGATTCTTCATTGTTGGCATAGGCCTATACCAGTGAAGTGTGTTGCAACTTCACAAGTTTGACTAGCAGTTTCCGTAGTGTAGTGGTTATCACGTTCGCCTAACACGTGAAAGGGTCCTGGTTTGAAACCGTGTGGAAACATTTTACGTATAACCAAAAAAAATCGTGTTTTTTTTTTTAAATTGCACGTTAAATGTGCTTTCATGAAGATGATGATTTCATGATTCTTCATTGTTGGCATAGGTCTATACCAGTGAAGTGTGTTGCAACTTTATGAGTTTGACAAGCAGTTTCCGTAGTGTAGTGGTTATCACGTTCGCCTCACACGCGAAAGGTCCCCGGTTCGAAACCGGGCGGAAACATTTTATGTAAAACCAAAACAATTCCTGTTTTATTTAAAGTGCACGTAAAATGTGCCCTCATGAAGATGATGATTTCATGATTCTTCATTGTTGGCATTGGCCTATGCCAGTGAAGTATGTTGCAGCTTCACAAGTTTGACAAGCAGTTTCCGTAGTGTATTGCTTATCATGTTCGCCTTACACGCGAAAGGTCCCTGGTTCGAAACCGGGCGGAAACATTTTACGTATAACCAAAAAAAATCGTGTTTTTTTTAAATTGCACGTTAAATGTGCTTTCATGAAGATGATGATTTCATGATTCTTCATTGTTGGCATAGGCCTATACCAGTGAAGTGTGTTGCAACTGGACGAGTTTGGCAAGCAGTTTCCGTAGTGTAGTGGTTATTACGTTCGCCTAACACGCGAAAGGTCCCCTGTTCGAAATCGGGCGGAAACATTTTATGTAAAACCAAAACAATTCCTGTTTTATTTAAAGTGCACGTAAAATGTGCCCTCATGAAGATGATGATTTCATGAAGATGATGATTGTTGGCATTGGCCTATGCCAGTGAAGTATGTTGCAGCTTCACAAGTTTGACAACCAGTTTCCGTAGTGTATTGGTTATCATGTTCGCCTAACACGCGAAAGGTCCCTGGTTCGAAACCGGGCGGAAACATTTTACGTATAACCAATAAAAATCGTATTTTATTTCAATTGGACCTAAAATGTGCTTTCATGAAGATAATGAATTCATGATTCTTCATTGTTGGCATAGGCCTATACCAGTGAAGTGTGTTGCAACTTCACGAGTTTGACAAGCAGTTTCCGTAGTGTAGTGGTTATTACGTTTACCTAACATGTGAAAGGTTCCTGGTTTGAAACCGGGCGGAAACATTCTATGTAAAACCAAAACAATTTGTATTTTATTTAAAGTGGACGTAAAATATGCCTTCATGAACTTGATGATTTAATGATTTGACACTAGACGTTTCGAAATATTTCAGTGAAATATGTTGCTACGTTACATGTTCTTCAAGCAGTTTCCGTAGTATAGTGGTTATCACGTTCGCCTAACACGCGAAAGGTCCGCGGTTTGAAACCGGGCAGACACATTTTACGTTAAACCAAAACAATTCCTGTTTTATTTAAAGTGCACGTAAAATGTGCACTCATGAAGATGATGATTTCATGATTCTTCATTGTTGGCATTGGCCTATGCCAGTGAAGTATGTTGCAGCTTCACAAGTTTGACAAGCAGTTTCCGTAGTGTATTGCTTATCATGTTCGCCTTACACGCGAAAGGTCTCTGGTTCGAAACCGGGCGGAAACATTTTACGTATAACCAATAAAAATCTATTTTATTTAAATTGGACCTAAAATGTGCTTTCATGAAGATAATGAATTCATGATTCTTCATTGTTGGCATAGGCCTATACCAGTGAAGTGTGTTGCAACTTCACGAGTTTGACAAGCAGTTTCCGTAGTGTAGTGGTTATTACGTTTACCTAACACGCGAAAGGTCCCCGTTTTGAAACCGGGCAGAAACATTTTACGTTAAACCAAAATAATTCGGATTTTATTTAAAGAGGACACAAAATGTGCCTTCATGAACGTGATGATTTCATGATTCTTCATTGTTGGCATTGGCCTATGCCAGTGAAGTATGTTGCAACTTCACAAGTTTGACAAGCAGTTTCCGTAGTGTAGTGGTTATCATGTTCGCCTAACACGTGAAAGGGTCCTGGTTTGAAACCGGGTGGAAACATTTTACGTATAACCAAAAAAAATCGTGTTTTATTTAAATTGGACGTTAAATGTGCTTTCATGAAGATGATGATTTCATGATTTTTCGTTGTTGGCATAGGTCTATACCAGTGAAGTGTGTTGCAACTTCACGAGTTTGACAAGCAGTTTCCGTAGTGTAGTGGTTATCACGTTCGCCTCACACGCGAAAGGTCCCCGGTTCGAAACCGGGTGGAAACATTTTATGTAAAACCAAAACAATTCCTGTTTTATTTAAAGTGCACGTAAAATGTGCACTCATGAAGATGATGATTTCATGATTCTTCATTGTTGGCATTGGCCTATGCCAGTGAAGTATGTTGCAGCTTCACAAGTTTGACAAGCAGTTTCCGTAGTGTATTGCTTATCATGTTCGCCTTACACGCGAAAGGTCTCTGGTTCGAAACCGGGCGGAAACATTTTACGTATAACCAATAAAAATCTATTTTATTTAAATTGGACCTAAAATGTGCTTTCATGAAGATAATGAATTCATGATTCTTCATTGTTGGCATAGGCCTATACCAGTGAAGTGTGTTGCAACTTCACGAGTTTGACAAGCAGTTTCCGTAGTGTAGTGGTTATTACGTTTACCTAACACGCGAAAGGTCCCCGTTTTGAAACCGGGCAGAAACATTTTACGTTAAACCAAAATAATTCGGATTTTATTTAAAGAGGACACAAAATGTGCCTTCATGAACGTGATGATTTCATGATTCTTCATTGTTGGCATTGGCCTATGCCAGTGAAGTATGTTGCAACTTCACAAGTTTGACAAGCAGTTTCCGTAGTGTAGTGGTTATCATGTTCGCCTAACACGTGAAAGGGTCCTGGTTTGAAACCGGGTGGAAACATTTTACGTATAACCAAAAAAAATCGTGTTTTATTTAAATTGGACGTTAAATGTGCTTTCATGAAGATGATGATTTCATGATTTTTCGTTGTTGGCATAGGTCTATACCAGTGAAGTGTGTTGCAACTTCACGAGTTTGACAAGCAGTTTCCGTAGTGTAGTGGTTATCACGTTCGCCTCACACGCGAAAGGTCCCCGGTTCGAAACCGGGCGGAAACATTTTATGTAAAACCAAAACAATTCCTGTTTTATTTAAAGTGCACGTAAAATGTGCCCTCATGAAGATGATGATTTCATGATTCTTCATTGTTGGCATTGGCCTATGCCAGTGAAGTATGTTGCAGCTTCACAAATTGGACGAGCAGTTTCCGTAGTGTATTGCTTATCATGTTCGCCTAACACGCGAAAGGTCCCTGGTTCGAAACCGGGCGGAAACATTTTACGTATAACCAATAAAAATCTATTTTATTTAAATTGGACCTAAAATGTGCTTTCATGAAGATAATGAATTCATGATTCTTCATTGTTGGCATAGGCCTATACCAGTGAAGTGTGTTGCAACTTCACAAGTTTGACTAGCAGTTTCCGTAGTGTAGTGGTTATCACGTTCGCCTAACACGTGAAAGGGTCCTGGTTTGAAACCGTGTGGAAACATTTTACGTATAACCAAAAAAAATCGTGTTTTTTTTAAATTGCACGTTAAATGTGCTTTCATGAAGATGATGATTTCATGATTCTTCATTGTTGGCATAGGTCTATACCAGTGAAGTGTGTTGCAACTTTATGAGTTTGACAAGCAGTTTCCGTAGTGTAGTGGTTATCACGTTCGCCTCACACGCGAAAGGTCCCCGGTTTGAAACCGGGCGGAAACATTTTATGTAAAACCAAAACAATTCCTGTTTTATTTAAAGTGCACGTAAAATGTGCCCTCATGAAGATGATGATTTCATGATTCTTCATTGTTGGCATTGGCCTATGCCAGTGAAGTATGTTGCAGCTTCACAAGTTTGACAAGCAGTTTCCGTAGTGTATTGCTTATCATGTTCGCCTTACACGCGAAAGGTCTCTGGTTCGAAACCGGGCGGAAACATTTTACGTATAACCAATAAAAATCTATTTTATTTAAATTGGACCTAAAATGTGCTTTCATGAAGATAATGAATTCATGATTCTTCATTGTTGGCATAGGCCTATACCAGTGAAGTGTGTTGCAACTTCACGAGTTTGACAAGCAGTTTCCGTAGTGTAGTGGTTATTACGTTTACCTAACACACGAAAGGTCCCCGTTTTGAAACCGGGCAGAAACATTTTACGTTAAACCAAAATAATTCGGATTTTATTTAAAGAGGACGCAAAATGTGCCTTCATGAACGTGATGATTTCATGATTCTTCATTGTTGGCATTGGCCTATGCCAGTGAAGTATGTTGCAACTTCACAAGTTTGACAAGCAGTTTCCGTAGTGTAGTGGTTATCATGTTCGCCTAACACGTGAAAGGGTCCTGGTTTGAAACCGGGTGGAAACATTTTACGTATAACCAAAAAAAATCGTGTTTTATTTAAATTGGACGTTAAATGTGCTTTCATGAAGATGATGATTTCATGATTTTTCGTTGTTGGCATAGGTCTATACCAGTGAAGTGTGTTGCAACTTCACGAGCTTGACAAGCAGTTTCCGTAGTGTAGTGGTTATCACGTTCGCCTAACACGTGAAAGGGTCCTGGTTTGAAACCGTGTGGAAACATTTTACGTATAACCAAAAAAAATCGTGTTTTTTTTAAATTGCACGTTAAATGTGCTTTCATGAAGATGATGATTTCATGATTCTTCATTGTTGGCATAGGTCTATACCAGTGAAGTGTGTTGCAACTTTATGAGTTTGACAAGCAGTTTCCGTAGTGTAGTGGTTATCACGTTCGCCTCACACGCGAAAGGTCCCCGGTTCGAAACCGGGCGGAAACATTTTATGTAAAACCAAAACAATTCCTGTTTTATTTAAAGTGCACGTAAAATGTGCCCTCATGAAGATGATGATTTCATGATTCTTCATTGTTGGCATTGGCCTATGCCAGTGAAGTATGTTGCAGCTTCACAAGTTTGACAATCAGTTTCCGTAGTGTATTGCTTATCATGTTCGCCTTACACGCGAAAGGTCCCTGGTTCGAAACCGGGTGGAAACATTTTACGTATAACCAAAAAAAATCGTGTTTTTTTTAAATTGCACGTTAAATGTGCTTTCATGAAGATGATGATTTCATGATTCTTCATTGTTGGCATAGGCCTATACCAGTGAAGTGTGTTGCAACTGGACGAGTTTGGCAAGCAGTTTCCGTAGTGTAGTGGTTATTACGTTCGCCTAACACGCGAAAGGTCCCCTGTTCGAAATCGGGCGGAAACATTTTATGTAAAACCAAAACAATTCCTGTTTTATTTAAAGTGCACGTAAAATGTGCCCTCATGAAGATGATGATTTCATGAAGATGATGATTGTTGGCATTGGCCTATGCCAGTGAAGTATGTTGCAGCTTCACAAGTTTGACAACCAGTTTCCGTAGTGTATTGGTTATCATGTTCGCCTAACACGCGAAAGGTCCCTGGTTCGAAACCGGGCGGAAACATTTTACGTATAACCAATAAAAATCGTATTTTATTTAAATTGGACCTAAAATGTGCTTTCATGAAGATAATGAATTCATGATTTTTCATTGTTGGCATAGGCCTATACCAGTGAAGTGTGTTGCAACTTCACGAGTTTGACAAGCAGTTTCCGTAGTGTAGTGGTTATTACGTTTACCTAACATGTGAAAGGTTCCTGGTTTGAAACCGGGCGGAAACATTCTATGTAAAACCAAAACAATTTGTATTTTATTTAAAGTGGACGTAAAATATGCCTTCATGAACTTGATGATTTAATGATTTGACACTAGACGTTTCGAAATATTTCAGTGAAATATGTTGCTACGTTACATGTTCTTCAAGCAGTTTCCGTAGTGTAGTGGTTATCACGTTCGCCTAACACGCGAAAGGTCCCCGGTTTGAAACCGGGCAGACACATTTTACGTTAAACCAAAACAATTCGGATTTTATTTAAATAGGACACAAAATGTGCCTTCATGAAGATGATGATTTCATGATTCTTCATTGTTGGCATTGGCCTATGCCAGTGAAGTATGTTGCAGCTTCACAAGTTTGACAAGCAGTTTCCGTAGTGTATTGCTTATCATGTTCGCCTAACACGCGAAAGGTCCCTGGTTCGAAACCGGGCGGAAACATTTTACGTATAACCAATAAAAATCTATTTTATTTAAATTGGACCTAAAATGTGCTTTCATGAAGATAATGAATTCATGATTCTTCATTGTTGGCATAGGCCTATACCAGTGAAGTGTGTTGCAACTTCACAAGTTTGACTAGCAGTTTCCGTAGTGTAGTGGTTATCACGTTCGCCTAACACGTGAAAGGGTCCTGGTTTGAAACCGTGTGGAAACATTTTACGTATAACCAAAAAAAATCGTGTTTTTTTTTTAAATTGCACGTTAAATGTGCTTTCATGAAGATGATGATTTCATGATTCTTCATTGTTGGCATAGGTCTATACCAGTGAAGTGTGTTGCAACTTTATGAGTTTGACAAGCAGTTTCCGTAGTGTAGTGGTTATCACGTTCGCCTCACACGCGAAAGGTCCCCGGTTCGAAACCGGGCGGAAACATTTTATGTAAAACCAAAACAATTCCTGTTTTATTTAAAGTGCACGTAAAATGTGCACTCATGAAGATGATGATTTCATGATTCTTCATTGTTGGCATTGGCCTATGCCAGTGAAGTATGTTGCAGCTTCACAAGTTTGACAAGCAGTTTCCGTAGTGTATTGCTTATCATGTTCGCCTTACACGCGAAAGGTCCCTGGTTCGAAACCGGGTGGAAACATTTTACGTATAACCAAAAAAAATCGTGTTTTTTTTAAATTGCACGTTAAATGTGCTTTCATGAAGATGATGATTTCATGATTCTTCATTGTTGGCATAGGCCTATACCAGTGAAGTGTGTTGCAACTGGACGAGTTTGGCAAGCAGTTTCCGTAGTGTAGTGGTTATCACGTTCGCCTAACACGCGAAAGGTCCCCGGTTCGAAACCGGGCGGAAACATTTTATGTAAAACCAAAACAATTCCTGTTTTATTTAAAGTGCACGTAAAATGTGCCCTCATGAAGATGATGATTTCATGAAGATGATGATTGTTGGCATTGGCCTATGCCAGTGAAGTATGTTGCAGCTTCACAAGTTTGACAACCAGTTTCCGTAGTGTATTGGTTATCATGTTCGCCTAACACGCGAAAGGTCCCTGGTTCGAAACCGGGCGGAAACATTTTACGTATAACCAATAAAAATCGTATTTTATTTCAATTGGACCTAAAATGTGCTTTCATGAAGATAATGAATTCATGATTTTTCATTGTTGGCATAGGCCTATACCAGTGAAGTGTGTTGCAACTTCACGAGTTTGACAAGCAGTTTCCGTAGTGTAGTGGTTATTACGTTTACCTAACATGTGAAAGGTTCCTGGATTGAAACCGGGCGGAAACATTCTATGTAAAACCAAAACAATTTGTATTTTATTTAAAGTGGACGTAAAATATGCCTTCATGAACTTGATGATTTAATGATTTGACACTAGACGTTTCGAAATATTTCAGTGAAATATGTTGCTACGTTACATGTTCTTCAAGCAGTTTCCGTAGTGTAGTGGTTATCACGTTCGCCTAACACGCGAAAGGTCCGCGGTTTGAAACCGGGCAGACACATTTTACGTTAAACCAAAACAATTCCTGTTTTATTTAAAGTGCACGTAAAATGTGCACTCATGAAGATGATGATTTCATGATTCTTCATTGTTGGCATTGGCCTATGCCAGTGAAGTATGTTGCAGCTTCACAAGTTTGACAAGCAGTTTCCGTAGTGTATTGCTTATCATGTTCGCCTTACACGCGAAAGGTCTCTGGTTCGAAACCGGGCGGAAACATTTTACGTATAACCAATAAAAATCTATTTTATTTAAATTGGACCTAAAATGTGCTTTCATGAAGATAATGAATTCATGATTCTTCATTGTTGGCATAGGCCTATACCAGTGAAGTGTGTTGCAACTTCACGAGTTTGACAAGCAGTTTCCGTAGTGTAGTGGTTATTACGTTTACCTAACACGCGAAAGGTCCCCGTTTTGAAACCGGGCAGAAACATTTTACGTTAAACCAAAATAATTCGGATTTTATTTAAAGAGGACACAAAATGTGCCTTCATGAACGTGATGATTTCATGATTCTTCATTGTTGGCATTGGCCTATGCCAGTGAAGTATGTTGCAACTTCACAAGTTTGACAAGCAGTTTCCGTAGTGTAGTGGTTATCATGTTCGCCTAACACGTGAAAGGGTCCTGGTTTGAAACCGGGTGGAAACATTTTACGTATAACCAAAAAAAATCGTGTTTTATTTAAATTGGACGTT